TTTTTGTGTCCCTTTTTGTGTCCCTTTTTGTGTCCCTTTTTGTGTCCCTTTTGTGACCCTTATGTACCTTCTGCAATGTAAATCTGGTCAGGCATCAACAGTTTTCTTTCAGCCACTGACAAAAAGATGTCTTTGTACAAACGCACAGGCTCAACTTCAGAAACAGAAGCCCATCCCAAGAAGAACTATTTGTTTTGCTGATGTGGATGGTATGCTGATTTCTGACTCTATTCCTTTCAGCAGTAGGAACAGTAATTGGCTACATCAAGTGTGCAGTAAAATAGCACAGCATTATTAGAGCAAAAGATTAGTATGAAATACTGTGTTACACAATATGCTTTTCCTGGAAAATATCAGAATGATATAGGTGAGAGTGAAGGAATTAAAAAAAAAAAACAAGTGAGAACATGTCTCTGTAAGTAGAGTCTTTGGCATTTGAGGTACACTTGCAAGCACAGAAGGAAAGAGAAGTTGTTCTAGCTTAAATGAAACCTCAGCTGTCTTGGTGAAATAGTTTTAGTGGTAGAGTGCAAAGAAAGTCCTAACTTTTACACTGATTATTCATTGCTGAGAAAAGGTAAAGACACCAGTGGAATAAGTGGGGGCAATAAGTTTGTGTGTGCATAGAGGAGAGTGTTCAGGGCACATTTTAAGGTTATGAGCAACAAATTTGTAGTGCAGAGGATTTTAAGAGATTTTTTCAATGTTTACTTCTGAGTAAGCTGTTCTTCACTCCTTTCTATGTAATGAACGCTATGCTACTATGCAGGTGACACTGCTGTCATGGTAGGGATGCTGCTTACCCATATTGTCCCCAAGGGGTCTGAGTATTTTGGCCATGACTCATCATTTCCAATAGTGAGATTTCTTACTGAGCTGTGAATGCTGATTAAATGCTTATTTTAGATCCATGAAATAGGAGCACTGGCTGCTTTTTTGGAACAAAGTTGTGTTATGCTCACGTTTCTCTCTGTGCTTGCTAGGGCAGTCTTCTGGGGCTGCCATGTGATCTCTGTACAACTCTTACCTTGTATGTGGCAGAGCATCCGAGGGTGGGGAACGTTCCTAGAGGAGTATGTTACCCATGAGCTCCTGGAGCGAGAACAATGTTGACAGGTGTTCATTGTGTAAGCTTTCCTATTCTCTTGAAGAGTGTCTTACTGTAGAGCAGGTTGGCTCTTAGGCTCTCCAAATGAGACTGAATGCTGGAAGTGAAGAACAGGAATTGACATTTAAAAGTAGAGGAAGCTTCAATTATTGCTTTTCTTTTAAATATTTCACTGTTATTTTACCTCTTCCACGTGCATTTTGGAGAAGGCATAAGCACAGGAGTCTGGAAGCAAGCTACCTTCTGCTCTGTGGCTAAGTAGTTAGCCCTGACAATTAATACTGCCTGTGGTTGCTTTGCAACTGCTTCTGTTGCCTCGCTGTTTCTGCTCAAGAGCTCAGCTGCCCATTGACATGCCGAGCGACACTCCTTTTTGTAGTAACAAAGTATATTGAAGGAGTAGATTGCTTTCTGGCTTGGGAAGTGAAGGGACAAGAAATGACAGCGAAAGAAATGCAGAGGCCTTGATTTCTAAAGGTGGTGTATGCAGAGAGGAAGTCTTATTTCTCTAAATACTTGGTGTCTGCTTCTAGATTTTGGGTTTAGAAGTTGAAGTTTAGCTGTTTTTACTGTTACCTTTATTTTTTCCTTCCATATAGTACGTATAGCTCCTTCACTGGAGCAGGCTGCCCAGGGAGGTGGTGGAGTCTCCTTCTCTGGAGATGTTCAAGACCTGCCTGGATGCCTACCTGTGCGACCTGCTGTAGGGAACCTGCTTTGGCAGGGGGTTGGACTCGATGATCTCTGGAGGTCCCTTCCAACCCCTACAATTCTGTGATTCTGTGACACCTTGGTTAGAGTACCTCCTACTTTAACATCTTAAGAACATCCAAAGAATGGTGTTGTATTTAAGGTACCTTGTGATGACTCAGAATCAAGTTAATAAAAAATGGAAAATAAAAGTTTAGGGGCTGCTCAGCCACAAGAGCAGAATAAGCATTCATCAGTTATCCATTAGGGTAAGGAAGCAGTGTGTGGTTGCTGCTCATATTTTAAGGAATATATGGAGAAAAGAGGATTGGAAAAGGATGAAGACATTTTTTCAAGCAACTGTTATGTTTTGCACAGTTACATTTTTACTCCATGACTACATCTGACTTAGGAAAAAACAAATTGAGTAGACTGAGGGATTTCACAATGTGTGCAGAAGGCCATGAGACGTGAGGTTGCCCCATATGAAAACAAAAAGTGTAAATCCCAGAGCTGAAGCTCATGGGTTAAGGTCGTTGTATGCCCTCTCAGACAACCGAGGAAAGGTCATGTCCCATGTGATGATTACATTTCAGGGCATGTGGTGGTAGGTTGGAACTGGCATTTCACAGGATTTTTTTTTCTTTTTAAAGCTAATGGCAGTCTTTTTTCTTTTTTATATGTACTTGGGGGCACGTGGAATACTTGAGGAAATAACATGACTTATTAACAAAAGCTGAAAACAACAAAGCAGAAGACAGAAAGAAGTAAGTGATTAAAGCCTATGTACTCAGTTACATACAGTTTGCAGCACCATTTAGTTGCCATTTTGATCACATACAGCAATGCTGTTATGCTGCAAGTTCCCTGCTGTTATTTCTGCAGACCACTGCCTTGCACAAACTATTCCTGATCAAAAATACCAAGCAGTCTGTCAGATAACTTGATTTGATGGTGGCTGTAAGAAATGTACACAGTGCTTCTCATGCTCTTTGATACCAGTCAGAATGAACTCATTAATTTTTTGTAATCATTTTGATACTTAACTATTCATAAATTGATTGATTGAAGTCAATTTTTACCTCACTACCATGTTTTCCACTACTGGAGCTCTGCTGGCTTGTTCTAAATTTGTATGGAATGAAATCAGAAGTCAGTGTTTTATTTAGGAGAAAACAATAAACATGAATACTAATTTCAAAGCAGAAAGCTGCATTTCAGCTGTGAAACAAGATTTGAAGCAGTTCTTGCTAGTTAACACTGTCTTCTGTAGCAATGGGTAAGGATTTGATGGGTTTGTGTTATTCTCTACTATTGTAAAAGTATTTAAATGAAAAATTTTAGTTTTGGTGTATAAAAGATGATGGATTGCAGAACAGATATAGCATAATGGATCAATCATCATAGAGAGTTCAAAGTTCCAGTTGAATTCCCTGCAATAGAGTGAATGTAATGATTTATGTACTTTTCCAAAGTGTTTTGTCTCTGAATTGTATAGCATATTGAACTTTATTTTGTTTTTACCACTGCGTTTACCAATATTTAACTGGCCAACACAGAAAGATGAAAGAAAATTGACTTCTGACTTTTCTCCTGCAAGAAAGGAAATTGTCTTGCCTTCAAGGATATGAATTATAAGCAACAAGCAACACCAGTGAACACTGGTTAGCTGAAGCTTGCCTGATCTGCTCAAATGTGAGGCATTATCTTTCAGAGCTGCTGTCTTGCTGTGATTTCAGTAAAGAACATGCCGTCCATTTGGTCTAATTTCTATCTTAAATGATTGCTGAGCAAAACATCTTATTGGGATTGTTGACTGTCAGGCATCTGTCTGTCCAAAGGCTGCTTTAAAGGGTGCAAAAAAAATGCCTCCGTGCCATGAAACTCTTATATCTGTATTAGCACTGCAGTCTAGCTTAGGTTTCATCTACTCTAAACATAAATACCAAAATATATCAGCAGAGAAGTTGATAATTTTTTTTTAAGATAGTGTAACCCTATAGAAGTGCTTCTTATTTTTAGGTACATCTTTATGTAGATGGGATGCAGAGCACATCATACAAATGAGAGATACCTATATCTCCTGACATAAAAAGTAAAATACACAAAATTTATGGTGTTGGTTGTAGTGGATTGACTGACTCATTGGAATAATGAGAACTGCTGATTTGTATTACATCTGATTGCATTTGTTTTTCTTAGCAAGCATTTATAATTTTGACTTAAAGAAAAATAAATGGAGAGACTGGCTTTTCCAAAGCCCTTTTGTATTTATTTTGAATTACGTGTTTTTACCATAATGCGTACTGTCCATAAGCTTCAGATTAAATGCTTACTAAAAACAGTCTATAAATTTAGTTATAGGAGTGGAAGATACTTTCTCTTCCTGGGTCTTTTGATTTTCTGCATACACTACTTATGTTTTTATGTTTTCTACCTATAAAGATGAACTATGTCTAACTAAAGTTTAAAATCTTGCCAAAGTTTAAAAACCTCAAAGTGTTACATAATGTTATTGCTGGTACAATATGTTCTCGGGAATTTAGATGTGTTACTTTGTCACAACACTCTGTTAATATTTAAATTAGTAGTTAAGTGCTACTAGCTAGCACTGTTGTTATCATAATAAAATCATAGCCAAAACGTGGATTATCATTGCTGTGTTCAAAAAACACTCCTTTGAGAAGGTGCATACAGTAGTTATTTAGAGCAGTCTTATATTTGACTCCCTTAATGGGCTCGTGAGAGACAATGTAATTTCACCTGATGATTGTTATATTGCCAGTTCTCAACTTTTCCCTGGAGAGCACGGAAGAAGTTGCGGTGTTGTAAAGCACGGAAAGATCAAACTACCTGAGAAGCAGTGCTGCAGAGGGCCTCCTCACCAGGATGCCAGGTTGGCAGTTCCTTCCATCCAGCTACAGCAAGTTAACTTCTCTCAGTAGGTAGCAGCGCTCCTGGGGTAGGGGTTTGCAGCTGAGGAGGCTGCAGCCTGGCTTGTTGTGCTGAGCAGCCCACAAGCAGGCAGGGGAGTGCTGAGGGTTGGAGACCATGGAATCCTTCCTGTTCTTTGTGACACATCTGAGCTGCACACGCTACTATGGAAGCAACACAGCCTCATATTTGTCTCTCATCAGCCAAGAGAAATAGTTGTGTGCTTCCAGTTCCTCCTTTTTGATTTTACCACTCTTTAACATGAGAGGAATTTTAGTTTCTGTAGAGAATTGAAGTTTCTGTGTGGACACTGAAGAAATGGTGACCTACAGGACTGTAAAATTACTTGACATTGGCTTTGGCTGTTCAAGAAAATTCACACTTTCCAATGAGATTTGAGGGATTTTTCAGGAGTTTCGGGAATTTTTCTGGAGTACAAGTGCAAAGCTACATAGTTGGTCTGTTCATTTGCAGCATATGAAATTGGTGTCACAAACTTGAGTTCATTGGATTGATCGGATGAGTAAGTGTGAAAAAATCTTCTAGCATTGATCAGTAAGGCTCTTAAATGTAGCATGGGATTGGCATTTGCATCTAGTAACAGAAAGGAAATTTAAGATGGGAGAAGACACATCATGAAGTGTTTACTGTTTATTACCCTGGTTGTCTGTCTCAGTGACAAAAATCAGATAACTGCTAAATTGAGTTTACAATTCTTGAACAGTTTTCTGGTCTGTTATGTTAGACACTGTGTTACGTAGACACTAAATCACAGGATATTCTGTGAGTGTGTCACAGCTTCAGAGGCAGAAAAGCAAAAGATGAAAGAAAACAGGTTTGTCTGCTAGTTTGTTTACATTTGGGAGGGAAAAAGGAGAGTTCCTGGTGCAACTGTTGTGGTAATCATTTTAATAAATATTTGGGTAATGTACAGGCTAAGCAGCTAAGATGCTGCTCTTAAACCTCTTCAAGAAAAGAAGGCAACTGATAGCAAAACCTAGCTAAGAAGCAGCCCATGCAGGTGCTAGTTTCTGATCCTGAAGCCCCAAAGAGTCTTTTATCATTTGCTTTGTTGTAAGCCCCAAGTAGAAAAGAGGCTGCCCTTGAATTCTTGTGTCTACAAGCTCAATAGCCACTAGCAAATCTGGCATAGTTTTTGCATGGTTGTTTTTTCTTTCTCTTTAGCTGTTTCTACACTTCACGAGGATCTGCTGAGCCTTATTAGGTTGGACAGAGAAGCAATGGAGAGGCAGTATTAGTGCCACATGTTCAGATAGACAGAATTAGATAAAAGGCTGATGAAGTGATTACTTACTACGTTTAATTGCATAAGAAGGAAAAGATTTGATAGATAAGCTTAAAGAAGAAATACTTTCATAGTGAACTGCCCTAAAATGGGACAGGATAGAATCTGGGGCCAGTTGCATGTTTTGTGTCAGGTATCAAAGCACAGAGCGTTGAGCCTGAGGGCCTGTGAGAGTAAGCCAAAAAGAGGAGGCACTGCAGCTTCCCTGCATGCCAGGACTTTGACCCTATGTCCTGCTCCTAGCATCTCGAGCAA